TACAGAATAAAAAGTACGATGTGATGTTATTTTTGTACCTTTTTTTCGCACATATCAGTTTCATCTAATGCACACTTGAGTTTAAATTTTTATGTTGCACATTTCAATATCATTTAATGCACATTTCAGTTTCACCAAATGCACAATTTGGTTCCACATAATACAATCCAACGGTCCAGATTCGTTCTCATTTTTCTCCTAAGATCTGTTCTTACCGGAACCGCTCCCTATATATATATATAGGGGAGAGTTCCAGTGAGAAAGGAGCTCCAGGAGAGAAAAAAGAATGATATTCAACCATTGATGTCATGGATCTAACGGCCACAAAAAAGGTGCATACGGATATTATTAATATCAATTTCCTCACATGGGATTTTCGTTAAAAGGAAAGTTGCAATGGTATTGTTCCGTAAGGGCATTGATGTCAAAGTATTGAGAAATTAGTAATGTGAGTTCCGAGATTCTCTCCCACCCATCTTGTACGTAGCATTCATTTTTGTATGACACATGTCACAAGATGGTGAAATAAAAAATTACACAGAACAATCACGATCCACTATTCTTGCTTTTCTCAGAACAAAACACGTGGCAAGACATCATTCCCACTCTAATCCAATTGTGCGGGAACAATTACATCACGACCTGCACGAATAGTATGGGGCATGACTACAGCAGTTTTCACCAATTGAAGCATTATAAATATCCTGCAACACAACGAGTTTAAGCCATCAAACTCAGGCAAACGTCTTGCAGTATATTTCTCAATTTATGCTATATTTCGTATTTTCCATTATTACCAGACAAATAATGAATTAATTCTGGTGCTAACTTGCATAGGGTTGAAGAGTGTCCAGAGTAAAAATGTTGTTCAACAGGATTCAGGAGCTGAACACCTCAAAGACAAACTGGGCTTTGAGGCTCAGACTGGTGCCTTCATATGTTGTTGCAGTTTTGATGAACAGAAACGTGATCAACACAATGGAATGTGAGTTTCATGATCAAGAGGTAAGTTTTAAGTCATCCTTATCCACTTCATTTTTTTATTTTAAGACCAACAACTCACTTTTTAATCTCTACAGGGCGATAGAGTTCATGCAACCATACGCAGAGAAAGACTTGGGGCATTTAAGGAACGAATAACAGAAGGGAAGGTTTACCTTTAATGTAATTGAACATATGCTAGACCGTGTAAATTATAATATATAAGAAAACATGTTTGTTAAATTTAGAAAATTCCACGATATTTCAGATTAAAAAGGAAATATTGTTGAAATGAACACCTGAAAACAGTGTTTGAAACTCGAGCAAAAAAACAGGTGAATGAAAGTAAAGGATTTAGGGATAAAAAATGAGAAATCTAAGTATTACTTGAGATTGATTTTATTTCTATCAATATAAAAAGAAATTGATTGAGCATATAGAAGTGTACTTTATGTTTTTTTAGAAAACGGGTGAATGAAAGTAAAATATTTATATCAACCTATGAAGTTTTTAATCAAAGCTTCAGGAATTGTAGGGATCTCTCTGCTTTGTTGTTCTTTTACTTCCACAGTAGACAAACCTGAAATGGTACAAGGAACAATGATGAGAAAACCAAGTATTTCTTAACAGCCCACAATAATAACATTTTGGAAGAAATTTATTTAGAAAAACAGTATAGATTAAGGTAGATTTCTTAGTCTTTAAGAGATAACAACTACAGCCTGATTTTGAAAGTCAGAAATGCATTTTAAGAACTGAAGTATGTAACAACGGATCAAAGTAGATAATAAAATTTATGTTAATACACATGATTAATAAAGAAGCATGTGATTTCTGAAATATTAAGACAAAGGTTTGATGAAAACATATCTCAAAGCATCGGATATGAAAATATAAAGACAAAAAGGTTTGGAAAAAACTTAAGAATATCTAATTACAAGAGGTTGATTTCTCAGACCATGCCTTCACTTCTTCTCAATGTATGAGTTGAGAAGATAGACATAAGAAGATATTAGTTCATAAAGATATCTTTATAACCATACAATGAATTGACAAATCAGTTTGAAAATAAACCAGAACAACAAGAGTAGTTTTAGGATACTCTTGATATCCTCAGAATTCAATTTAATAAAAACAGATAGGTATTGGCAATTAACTATGTTATATAACCAAATTTAAAAAAGATGTGTAAAGATCAAGTGAGTTATTACAATAGTTTTAACACATAATGATTTCAAATAAATAAAAATGAGAAGATTGAAGTGTTTATTTCACAGAACAGTTCACTTTATAAAAAAAGGTGAATGAAGTAAAGGAGTTATATCAACCTATTAAGATTTTAATTGGGGATCTCTCTTCTTTGATGTTCTCTTAATTCCACAAACTATTAGCAAACCTGAAATGGTACATGGACCTATGATTACAAATCCAAACATGTCTTCACAGAACACAATAATAATAATAATAATAGTAGTACTAATTATAATAATACTTATTAATATAACTATACTAATAATTGAAGGAAATCGGTGTGTTAAAGAAATAGCAATTACACCCTCATTTTAAAACTAGCAAATGAATTTTAAAAACTTGGGTAACTTTGTAACATCAGTTCGAAACAGATCCAAGTAAAAATTATGTTAATACACAAGATTAACATAATAATATGTGATGTCTGAAATATTAAGACAAAAAAAATTGATGAAAACTTTTCTCAAACTCATTGGTCAATATACTGATGTTAATATACACGTTTAATATATAATAACAGTTAAATAAATTTGAAGAACCATCAGATCTGAAAATATAAACACATAAAAGTTTGGAAAAATTTATCTCATTCCAGGCGGTCGATTTCTCAAGGCATGTATCCAGTTTGTTTTCGATGTATGACCTGCGACAGATAGACAGAAGAAGAAATCAATTCATAAGGAATTATTATCAAAACTATATCTATAACAATACAATAATTAACAAATAAGGTTGGAAAAAACAAAACAACAAGAGTAGTTTGAAAAAAAATCAGAGATACCTGGCTGGGAGAAGGGAGCTACGGTGTGGCTCAGCACCGACCGGCCTCACCTTCACTTTATGGTATTTTACGGGAGAAGGGAGCTACTCCATCGACTTCAAAATATCTGATAAGAACGCCATGACTTCTTTCGGAAGAGAAGGTGTATAGGGTGTGGAAGGCGTCGGGAAAGATAGACGTCGATGGGTGTAAGTGAGTGATAGGGTGTGAGGGAGAAGGTGAAGTTACGTAGGTAGAAGCTGTCTGAAATTTCTAGAGAACTCATTCGGACAGGCAGGCAGGCAGCATATATATAGGGTGGAGTAGGTTTTTCTAATATTTTGGGCCAAATTTGTAATCCGATGGGCCAAAATTCTAAGCAGTTGGACCAAGTTGTGTGGGTTAATAGAAAATGGTAAAGCAATGAAAAATAAATGTATAAACCTGTTTGGTGACCATGTTTTCCGACTTATCAAGCTTATCAGCTAATTTTTAGCTAATTTTTCACCAAAAAAGTATGGGTTAAGAAGCAACCATTTGGTAACATTGATATTGGCTGATTTTGTTCAAATTTATGAAAGTCGTTGAAATGACCGTATTGGCTATTTCTACTGATTTTAGTAAAAAAAATTAAAATGTTTGTTATTAATGAATAAATAAATAATCATATAAAAATAGCAAAAATGATCATTTACAATATATTTTAAATATATATATTTTTGTTTAATAAAATATATTTTAAATATAATTTTATTGTATCTTATCATTTATATAGTATATAATTCATATAAACAATAGTCTTTACTTTATTCCTAAATTAATCTGGATTTTTATATCTGTATAGTAAATGTGGATCGCTTGATAAGAAAGCGTGCACGAGTGGAGGAACATGTATCGATTCAATCTACTTCGGGGGAAGGTGATCAACATTAATTGTTCTCATGACAATCAACAAAAGTCAAGGACAGTCGCTATCTCATGTTGGGTTGTTCCTAAAAACCCGGTATTCTATCATGGTCAACTCTACGTTGTTGTTTCCCGAGTTACCAGACGTGAAGGATTGAAAATATTGATATGCAACCCCGATGGTGCCTCCAATAAATCAACGATAAATGTTGTATACCCAGAAGTTTTTCAAAACGTTTAGTTTGTTTTGTATTATAATGTTCTTAATTCTTTAATTCAACAACTTAATAATATTTCTCCCATATCATTTATTTTTTTAACCTTATTATATTAAATGCGTATGCTTTGATATTTTTATATGTATTTCTCATAACTAAAATACAACAAAAAAATGTCTCGTGCATCGCACGGGTGCGATACTAGTTAAAATAATGACATAATCACTTAATATGATAATGATTAATGACATAATGAAAGGATTAAATATGCCACTATTTGAGTCGGACTATTGATGAAAATTTTCAAATACGAGTATCAACTATCAAATACTAGCATGTATTTTTCACAATAGTTGAAGGATTATAAATTGAAAAAATAAAAAATAAATACTCAAAATGTAAGTGATACAATAATTAGAGGACTACAAATGACTAGATCTTTTCAAATATCTCAATTTTTTTATTTCTTAAATCAATTCAAACATTATACATTTTCTCAAAGAAAACAACGTTTGTTTTCTTTCAAAAATATGATTCATCACTCTCAAAAGTGAACTCTCTTTTTATTTATTATTAGGTCTAAGAAAATTGTATTTTGGGAATAAAACACAAAAGATCACATTTTTATAAGCTTTTTTTAAATACATTTTCGGGGTTAGGTCATGAATAAGACTAATTAAATGGATTTCGACAAATATAGAACCTGATTTTGTATCTTCCAAAAATGAGACCATGCGTGTACTTCATTTAAAAGTTTTAGAATGAAAATATCAAAAAGACCCTTGCTTTCTCATCAACATAACGCACTAACGCAGCCTAGCCTGATTTCCTTCCGGTTTCAAATTCCAATCAATGAGAATGCTATATAGGCAACACAAAACTGACAAAAGTATGACTTTAATAGTTTATGCTTGGTTATCCAATCCGTCCGGTTACAATTATCCGATCTGTCCAGTTACAGTTACCCGACTCATTTAGTTACAGTTACCCGACTCGTTCACTTACAAATACCCAATAATCCGACCCAGTTCGAATTCTAGTTATAGTTACTCGATCCGTCCAGTTACAGTTATTTGATCCATCTAGTTACAGCTACCCGATCCGTCCAGTTACAGTTACCCCGACCCCGTCCAAGTACAGTTACTCGATCCGTCCATTTATAGTTACCCGATCCGTCCGGTTACAATTATCCGATCCGTTCAGTTACAGTTACCCAATCCGTCCAGTTACAATTACGCGATCCGTCCAGTTACAGTTACTCGACCCCGTCCAATCATAGTTACCCGACTCGTCCAGTTACATGTATCTGACTCGTCCAGTTAAAGTTACCCGATTCGTTCACTTACCACTACCCAATTACCCGACCCGGTTCAATAGTGATCACCGCTAGCCGCCGCCGATAACCACTTATGACCACCACTCCCAGTCGGCGCCGCCGGCAACAACCACCACCGGCAACCGCCACCAATCCCGGCCACCGCCTCGTACCACCGATCCGCTCCAACTCGACTCCCCAGCCCGCAACCCCAATCCCTGTACAGTCACAGTCCACCAACGTCACCTGCCTCGTTACAACCCCAGAAACCTGGCGACTCCACCAGCCTTGCAACAGATCCAGTGTCCAACAGCCCCGCCGTCTCCGACCACCAGCTCACAACCGCGTTCCATCCCCAGCTGTCACAACCCCACCACCGCGCCACGCGGCCGCCACCACCCCGTCCCTAACCCTAAACACCATTGTAGATCCAAATTTACAGATTCAAAATCCAGATCTAAATCTGATGGTCGAAAATGCTCCTTCGATGATCGACACGAAGAAGACAGTAGCCGAGCACCCATACGAAGATGAAGACAACCGTGCTCCACATCTCCGGCAAAGCTATTATCGTGGCCCTACCGCCTCCAAAAATCGGAGCAAAAAAAAAAAGGAAGAAGAAGTCGGCGGCGCGGCTATTCTTCTGGAGCGACCAGGTGTTGCAGTGACTTGCAGATGAGGAGCCACTGTGCGACTTTGAAGAAAGCCGATAGGCAACGGCGAGATCGAGAGTAGGTATCGACGGCAGGAACGATTAGAGGAGGAAGGAAGACTAAATTGGGGTAATTTGGCCACTTTAGAAACAATTGGTCTCAGTTTTGTCCTAAATAAAACTTGGTTCCACTTTTGTCCGTGGAAAAGTCTGGAGTAATAGTTTTGACATTATTTCTACATTTTATAAGTTTATTTTGTCCATGTTGCATTCATCTTTTAAACCATTCTATTACGCGAGATAGCAAGCAACGAGCAAGGAAACCGAGATTTCAAGTTTCAGAGCATTTGGAGCAGTTCCAAGATTCAAACATGTACTCAGTATGCGGTATGCCTACGTAGGACAGACAGTACTATTTAGTACTTCAATTTTCTCAACTTATACTACGTATTACATAAAATAAGAAAGAAGGAAATGGGGTTCAGCCGCCAAAAACGAACTGGAGTCGCCGGTTGTGAAAGTTGGATTACAACTGACCGTATAAGGATGTTTTTACTTACCACTTCCGATCCCAAAGCGGACCAAACCGATTAAACCAGACTTGAACGGTTATAATAATCACAAAGATCTAACATCTATTAGATCAGATCAGGCCAAATCAGATCACAATAGAAAATTTCAATCCAATTCAAAACATCCTAAGATTTCATTACAAATGTTCTAGAGCAAAAATGACTATATAAGCGTCTATTTCCTACATCATTGTTTTAGATTTTGAGCCGCCTACATGAACACAGAAGATTCCGTTACGAATTCCTGTACAATGAAAAATCCTCTTAGATCATTTGTAGTGGTCAAGAGTTTAAATTGTTAAATTTGGACTCTGTCCATATGAAAACAGTATTTAGACTCCGTCAATACTATATTTCCTTGCATCCGTGCACCGTCAATAAAATACACTCAACATATATTTTTTACATATCAATTTAGTAAAACATTAATAAATTATTATAAGTAATGTTTTACTTTTAATATTTTCCCTAAATAATTATGAAATAAAAAATACACATTTCGATATAAAAATAAATAAATGTTATTAATTTTTTTGACATTTTTCGGTTAACAAAAATGAACTTAGTTTAAGTAAAGTTCAATTATGAAATATTCAGTTATTTGTGAATGCTTCATGAATTAAAAATGTGTGATTCATGTTTTTTTGGACTCGGAAAAACTTCAACGGTTAAAACTTGAGATTTTTTTAATTATATATATTACATATTAGTGTCATATGAAAGATCACGAAAATTCATGAATTTTGATATGTTTTTTGAAAAAATTGGAATACAAATAAAAAAGTTATAAGAGTGTTAAAAAATTTGAGTTTTAATGACACACGGATGACATCATCATTAAGACCCTCAACCCCCTTACCCACTTTTAACTTTTAAGACCTCTCAATCCTCCATTGCAAACATTTAGGAGTCCAAAAGTTCCATTTTTAACTTTTTGGACTCCTAAAACCTTCCCACTCCAAATGGTCTTAGTGCACGTTCTTGTTGAGGTATGAGTGTTTATCTACTTTAGTACTACTCCCTCCATCCCGGATGGAACTTGACGTCTGCTTTTGGCACGGTATTTTAGGAGCTCAATTAATGGAGGAACAGATGTCTTGCATGTCCTTTGACTTTTAAATGGAATTAATGATATCTACTCAAATGTAAAAAGTGGGTGGGTAGTGAAGGGTAGTTAGGTCATTTAATTAGATCATTTAATGTAAAAGGAAACATAAAGGAGTAAATGGGACGTCCCAAAAAGGAAAGTGTAAAGATTTATATGAGACGGAGTGAGTAATAATGTAGAGTTACCTCAATTAAAATTGATTTCTACTTAAATTGCAATTGAGTCGAACCATTAAAATTCATAAATTTTAAATTTTGACCTCAATATTCTTTCTTCAACTTAAATAAAATCCAAGTAGTGTATGAAAATCTAGCTCCACTCACGGAAATTAGTTTGAATAGATAACTCAGACAATAGAGATTACACATAGGCAGTGTATTACCTCATCACCGCATAGTTTAATTTCATTCAATGCTATTTGAACTCTTAATGTTAAACTAGCTACATATATTTTTTGGGTACAAACTAGCTACATATATACTCCAATACTACACCTAGTCACCTACAAGGCTACAATATATTAGAATCTTGCTGAAGATTCAACGGTGAAGGCCGAGTGTCGGGGGAGCGTATATAGTACAAACTTATAATTTTGGTGAAATTCACGGATTATTTTAAATGAGCATTGAGTCAATTTTGATAATTATCGAGCCCGTTCTTTTGAGTATTAGGAGCATAACGGTGAGCATTAGTGATATCTGTTTCATTCCTCGTATATCACATTCTGTTTATTATTTTTTCGTTTATTAAAGTCTTAAATTATGTCTATAATCAATTTCATTTAATTTCAATATTTGTCTAATGAATTAACATGTGCAACCTTTTTTAATGAGCATAAAACAGTACCAAATGAGCATACATAATTACAAAATGAGTATCAAAATATTAAAAAAACTCATTTGTGTGTGTTCATTATTTTTGGGTGTTATACTCATTTGAGTTTAACATAAAACTCATTTTGAAACATGCATGAATATGACATTTTAAAATGAGTATTGCACTAACATCAAATGAGTATACATAAATTAGAGAATGAGCATTCAAAAAACTCATTTAAAATGTCTATTGTGCTCATAATTTCATCTGTTATGCCCACATCTGAAGAATTACATATATTCTCTGTTATGCTCATAAATTCTCTGATATGTCGCCAAAGTTGGAAGCCAGAACGAGAACGATCTGCAGAGGAAGACCAGCGGAGGAAGATCTGCGGAGGAAGACCAGTGGAGGAAGATCTGCAGAGGAAGACCACCGGAGGAAAACCAAACGGAGAGCGAAGATCGAGAACGATCTGCGGAGGAAGACCCGAGCCCTGCGATTTGCGATGGAAGCCAGAGCCCTACGATTTGCGATCTAAAAGGCCGGTTGTACCGTAGGACAATCTTATTTAAAGATCAAGCTTCAAAATTCTCAGGAATTACATTGCATTCCTGTCATACACAAAAGATCAGTTTTTCCTTCATTAATTAACATATGTAAATTTAATTAAGGTAGATTCTATGGTACCCTTAAGGCACCATACCTTTGTCCACATGGACCAATCAAAATGAAGCAGTTGAATTATTTAAATCTAAATTAAAATTGATATAATGAGTTGGACCAATCATGTGAATGGTAGGTACGGTACCCCATTTTTTAAATGGGTACCGGAGTTGTCACCATTAATTAATATCCAGTAGTCAAAAATCATTGTAAAATTAATGATTAGGCTTATTTGAACCCCACATATTCTAATGAAAACTTATCAATGTTAGTTACACTAAATCTGCATTATAAATTAAATAATCGCTACCATAAATGTTAGGTGAGAGAGTTAGTATAAATCAGCGGTTAGCAGATAAGGTTAGCGGTTTATAATCAGCGGATTAAATCAACAGATTTGACCGGCGGATTAGTTTGGCGGGTTACACAAAGATGTTTGGCAACATAGCTGTTTGTTTTTAGCAGTTAATAAATAAAAAGACAGAAAAGGACATTAGTAAATTTTATTATTTGCTTCTTTATTGTGCATGTAATAGTACGTATGATATTAAAAGTATACAACATATATATATATATATATATATATATATATATATGTGAGTTAACTAATTAATAATTTTAAAACTAATGAAATAAAAACATAATAATAATTGAAATTCATAAATTCACTACACTAATAATAAGAACAAAAGAATTACGACCCAAAACTATGTTCTAACAACATAACTTCAAATTTTAAACTATGAAAATTACATATATACAAAGAATATAAATTAATAAGGTGATAATTAAGTGGGATGCAGGAAACGGATAATGCTAAAAACCATAGGAGCTCCATCATAACATTCTCAAGGCATCTCTCACACCAGGTTGTCTAGATTATTTCAATTCAGATTTAGCAATTTGGCATGTAAAAACGATCATAAATATCGTTGGGCACTTTTAATTTGTCAGTCAAGAACTCAAGATCCTCTACCTTAAACGGTGCATCAGTGCATGTACTGGCCGGGCACACAAACGGCTTTGCAGAATATTGGGAACGAAGGTCTGCACTACATACCCGGCGATCTGTTATGGAAGAAGGGGGAAATTGAAGGTCTGCGCGGAATATGGAAGAAGGGTCTTCTAGGCTGGTCTTCATACTTCAGATCGAGGCGAAGGTCTGGTACGCAGAATACAGAAGGTGGAGGGTACGGATGAGAACTAATTATTGTTGTAAACCCGCTAAGCATAAACGCTTCTAATCCCAGCGTTTCATTTTTTGGCGTGTTGGATCAAAACGCCATAGCAACAAGCCATTTGCCAAACACTTAACTTCAGCGTTTTGACCGATTAAAAACGCTGATTTTGGTCAAATCTGCCAAATTTCGGCTGAAACGCCATTTACCAAACACGGCCAAAATATAATTGGAAAGGTTGGGTTTGTTAGTAAGAACAATGTTTTAAATTCGGGTATATATCTGAAAATTTTGAACTTTATTAATAAAGATCAGTGAAAGTGTATTAGTATAGACCTTAAAATACATTTCATTTATTCGTTTTGTATTAGTTCTCAATTACAAGATTTCAATTAACAGCCTACCTCAAAAAGTTAAATAATGTGAATTGAATGTTGGTTGTGATATGTCTAGGAATAGGTTTTTATTAGGCCCAATCGGTAACTGAAAATTAGATTGTTTGGTACTCCCACCGTCACATTAGAAGGTTCCCACGTTCCTTTTTTGGACGTCCCACATAAAGGTTCTCATTTCCATTTTAGAAAACAATTAACAATATTAAGTGATAAATTAATCATTAAATATAAAAAATAATACATTTATAACATCACAGTTACTACATTATAATATATATCTATTAAAATTATTTTCTCAAAATATATTTGATAGAGTATATGGCCCAGGCCCCATGACCCACATACTCAAAGGATCAAACTACTGAAGATAGACATCCACGTGGCATCCCTTCGGCCAGATGGGTCCTCCATCGGCCCGAACCAAAGTTACTCAAACATGCATTACTCTACTCCTTTTCACCTCATTACACGTGCCTCAAGGAGTGGGGGGCTGAGGGACTACACCTGCCCCAAAAACTAAGCAAACTCAAAAGCAAAACAAAGCAAGATCGCATCATCAACATCACAACGACCACAAATACATAGATTTGCCTTCGGCCAAGCCAAAAGGTGAACCTAGAGGACGCGCATCATCCTCAAAATGATGAGTCACACTTCATCATCCCTCAACGTCCACACGCATGTGGGTCAACATCGGCCAAAGTTAGAACACAAAAGGGGAGTAAAGAACAACAGACACACATCGTCCTCCAAAACGAAGGTCACACCTCATCGTCCACAAGGAACAAGTGCAAGGGATCTACATCACCCTTCAAAGGCAATGGCAAGTCATCGGCCATCAAACACTGCCAAGGACCATCGGCCATCAGCTACAAAGAAGCCATCGGGTCACACAACAGCCAAGTGCAAGGAAATATCAAACGACAAGGTATCAAACATGAAGGTCCCCCTCTTCGACCAAAAGCAACGGAAGTACTCCCTTTCATTTCGTCTGCATCTCAGATCAGCTTAGAGAGTGGGAGACTCCTGATAGAGTATAAGGGCCCAGGCCCCATGGCCCACATACTCAAAGGATCAAACTACTGAAGATAGACACCCACGTGGCACCCCTTCGGCCAGATGGGTCCTCCATCGGCCAGAATCAAAGTTACTCAAAATGCGACCTGGAGATCCGAGTACAAAATGGGTCCTCCATCGGTTGGGGATCCCATCGGCCAGAGGGTATCACATCGGCCATGGGATCCCATCGGCCAAGGGCATCCCATCGGACAGGGGCATCATATCGCATCGCCCATGAACACACTGGCAGAATAATTTTTACACTTAGTCAAATAAATTATGTTCTCAGGCCATTAGTGGCCTTTTATGCCCAAAAGAGGTCTTATCATTGTAATGGGCCTCCTAAGCCCAAGTCCACAGTTTCCCTATAAATACTCCCCTTGGAGGTAGTTATAGAGGGTTGAGAAATATTAAATCTTCACTTTCTCTCTGTAGTTCTCACTTCTCTCTAGAATTTAATACTCTATCAATACTCAAAATACTTTATTAAATTATTGTCTAAATAACCATGCCGTTTTGCTATGAGAACCTTCCAACCAGATGGATGTAGTATTAGTTTTTTTCGTAGAAAGTAAAGAATTGCACTTTAGCATATCAGTTGCATTTTAGAAGAACCATATGTTCAAGATTTGCATTTGATCAAACCAGCCCTATAAGCTCAATTTAGCAAAATAGCCATGATCAAGCCCTACCCACAAACACGTTGCATCCATTGAATCACACCTTCTTAAGCAAACATGGACAATACTAATACTTATTTTGAAGATCAATAAAGATCAATAATACTAATTTTGAAAAGCACCTAGTAGACAAGTACTAAATAAACATTCCGGAGACCTCATAGCATTCCCAGTTTTTCTTCTTCTTCAGATTTTGAATTAGACTTGCATTTTTATTTGATTTTAATAATTTAGAATGTACTCCCTCCGTCCCGTTGGAATGTTCTCGGTTTGACCTACACACATATTAAGGAAATAAACTTACCAGGGGGTAAATTTTACAGTTTGGACACTGTTTGGACACTGTTTGACACTGTTTGACACTGTTTGACATTGTTTTGCACTGTTTGACACTGTTTTGATGTAGAATAACTTTCCATTTAGGGAAATGAGAACTTTCCATTGGGACATCCAAAAAAGGAAAGTGGGAACATTCCAACGGGACGGAGGGAGTATATATTAGGTAGGTGCATGCAACCCCTTGGTCACCCATCAAGTATATCAGTATATGTGCTTATCCCCCCTAATATGCAATTATAAAGTCATAATATCTTGGAAAATCTGAAGCAAATCTATATAGTGAAAGTAGAAAAACACATTGAAAAAAATGTAACAAACTTTTAAATACATTCTAAAAACTTTCAAAAATAACATTCCAAAAAGAAAAGTATAGAAAATTTTAAAATACCAAGAAAATATATAATACTGAAACCATTAGAAAGATCATAAATAATTATTAAATCTGATATATTTTTTACTCCCTCCGTCCCGTAATTAAGTTCACAGTTTGACTTCACACAGATTTAGAAAATGAGTTTGAGTTCATTGTTTTGCACTGTTTAAACACTGTTTGACACTGTTTGACATTATTTGGTACTTTTTTTATGTAGATTATTTGACAAATAAGAAATGTTTTGAAGTATGAATTTAATTTTGAGACTATCCGAAAAGAAAAGTGAGAAGTTAATTTTGGGACGGAGGAATTATAAAAGTTGGATCTCGAAAGAGGGGTTGCCAAAAAAGGGGTTGCCTCTTTGAAAAGGTGAACAAAATCACTCCATAATTTTTCACTGGTCTCCATCTGCTCTGTTACATATCCTTTTCGAGCGGTCCAGCCAAAACCTTAGCTGCTTCTATCCGAAATGTGACATTTCGTTTGTCCACATGCATGTCTGATATATTTGTGTATATTAGTATATACATATGTGCAAAAGGTGGAGTTGAAAGCAGAGTGTTAGCTGCATTTCCATATGTAAGTTGTCTATCTCTCCATCTCCAAACACCAATTTTCTCTGCGGGTAAGTAATCACAAGTTAATTTATTCATTTGAAATATATCAAGATGGAATTTTTTGTTTATGTATTCGTTTGGGGCACAGATATTTCCTGTTTTTCACATTTGCAGTCTTTTATTTATTCCAAGAATCAAACTCGTGTTCTTGAAGATCCGGTTCAGGTCCATTGGCCCACATTTACCAGCTTCTTCTCCTTCCTTTTGCGTATAATTTGATTGCATTTCTATGTTCTGAAAAATCTGTAGTCAATTTCTTCGGTATCAAGAAACGTTGCGTGATTATCTTTGGTGTAAAGTTTACTTTTTGTTTGGTACGTGTTCAACCTCTGTAATAAAAGTCTGGCGAATTGTCTCTTCACCATGTTTGCTTACTTGAGACTTGGGAGAACTCTATTGCTTACTTTTCTCAAGCTGGTTTATCAATAACATGAATTTTTTACAGGATTTATCAATGTGGGAATGCTGACCTAGAGTTGAAAAAGGGGGTGATTTTGATTTGGGGGGATTATGTTCCATTTCCAGAAATGGAGATGCTCATGGTCTCTAGTGGCAAGCGGAGCTTCAATTGTGATACTGGTTTCGGTTGTTCACTTATTCCTCTACCCTGTCATTCCTTCTCTGGACTCTTTTAGTACACTGTCCTTTCATGGGTCTGGTAGTGAAATAGGTGATCGGGCCTCCCAAGATAGAAAGTATCTACCACTAGTCAATGATACTGCTAATGAAAGCCAACCTCCTATTCTTGATCTGAACGCCCAGTTTCCTGAAGATTTACATAATGCAGTGGTATACCGTGGTGCTCCATGGAAGGCTGGAGTTGGCCGGTGGTTAGCTGGATGTGATTCAACCAATGCATCAGTGAAAATAGTTGAGGTGATCGCTAACGTAATATAAGAAATTATTTTTCACTTTCAATCTTGTACTAGGATCATTCTTTTGTTGTGAGATATGAATCAATGTATGTGAGAAGATGTCTTCTTCAGTGCAAATATATAGTAGCTCATGAAACTTCACATGCTGTTGACAGCAAATTGGAGGGAAAAGCTGCAAAGATAATTGCAGCAGTCAAGGAGTCTGTAACCGTGAGCTTGGTAAATGTAGGTGCTTTCATGGTTTCAGTGGTTAGTATTCATCATGTTTTTTACTATTAGTAATTAAGAAGATGATGTGCATGGTTATATGTTAAAAGGATGCGAAATAAGGCATGTAGCAAAACTAGCTTCGCTTTGTATATTTGTTTCTCTGCGACCTAATAGGAGTAGTTGTTTGGCCGTTAACTTTCTTTTGGACTCGGTTTAGTCCTCACATAATTTACTCAAATGATGAAGGCCGTTTTTTTGGTTTAAGACTAAATTAGGTCCAAATCACATAGATGCAGACCAAATTGAGTTCTATATGGGTCTAAGCTTAGTTATAGATGAAAATGCCCTTTTTATTTGAAATAAAATATGTACAATAGGTCAACAGTACAATAAAATTAGATCCAAACTGCAAAGTCAATGAGCAAATTGGATCCTAAAAGGTGTTTATGGCCAAATTCAGTAATGGTGTATAGTTGAGGGACTAAATCAAGTATTAATTCTTTATGGTACTAGATTAGTAACCTATGTATATATCCTGATCTCTGCAAGTTTCCCCTTTCTAGCCTGTTTTTTCATCCCTTGTCATCATACATATATCTTGTTTATCAATGAGGGAGGGTTAACATCTTGCAATATGTAAAAGAAAATATGCTGATATGCAATTTGGGGAAGCTAATGGATTTCCATTGCTATATTCATATATTAGTATTATATCTTAGTTTTTTAAGTTTACTACTAGATGAAGGATGTTCAGAGAGGGTGGAGTTGAAATGCAACTATCCAGAGTCAAATGAGGAGCCTTTTGGGCGATGGGTTGTGTCAATTTGTCCAGCGCATTGTGACACAACAAGGGCAATGTGTTTTTGTGGTGAAGGCACAAAATACCCAAATCGTCCTCTTGCAGAGGCATGCGGCTTCAAGAGCATGTAAGCACACCCATGTATATGTTGGCAGTATGTGGGCCCATCCATACCTACAATACCTATCTGAAAACACTACTTCCTTATATTATTGATTTCAGTCCCCCATCTGAACCCGGTGGTCCCGTTTTGACTGATTGGACAAAAGCCGATCCTGATGTATTCACTACCAATGCTAGCAAACAGGGATGGTGCAATGTGGACCCTGCCGAAGCATATGCTTCTAAGGTCCATTTCAAAGAGGAGTGTAATTGTAAGTATGATGGACTTTGGGGCACATTCTGTGAGGTTCCTGTTTTAAGCACCTGTATCAATCAATGCTCTGGCCATGGGCTATGTCGAGGTGGATTTTGTCAGGTAAATTGTGCTTTATTGCTGTTTTCCCTCAAAAATAAATTGTCTATTCCAAAAGATTGTTTTTTATTTGAATCCACAAAATAAGGAACTTCGAAAACTTTCCATTTTTGGTCACACGACTACTAGGTCAGTCCCATTTCGGACCCCACCTTCATTTTCCATTTTTGGGCACAACTATGGATTTCTAGCAGCCTTTAGTCCTTTCGTGTCAGTTATCTGGTGAAAGTAAAGTTTAAGGTGTACAGAAATTGACCGGGTAAGTGGTTAAGAGGATCAAAAGTATAAAGGAAATGTATATGTCCACCAAAAGTGGATTGAATGAATGTTGCATCCAAAACTAACACACACAGTTCTTCATTTAGCCATGGGATCAAAAGTTGACAAATTTCATTTAAACAATTAACAGTTTAACACGTTAAATTGTGCTACATGCACAGTTTTTTAAATAAAGCTTAAGAAAAGGCACATGGTGTAGTTATTCTCAGCCTATCTAGGTTGCACTATTTTCATTTAACCTCTTTGCTGTTAGAAATTTTCTACAGATCAATAGATAATGTTCTTATGTTGCATGTATTACCATACAATTTATTGTTAAGTTTACCAATTGCCCTTCAAACACAAACTTCATCCAAGTTCATTCTATGAATCCTTGCATGTCACAATATTTTAACTTTTTGTTTCTTCACTACAACACATACGTTTTAGCAATTGATGACATATATGTTTATCTATAGTGTCACATTGGATGGTTTGGAACAGACTGCAGTGTTCCCTCTGTCTTGTCATCCATTATAGACTGGCCAAAGTGGCTTCGACTAGCCAAAGTCACCATTCCAAACAATTTGAACACTGTTACTGTTGAAGCTATGGTGGAGAAAAGGAGGCCACTCATCTATGTTTATGATTTGCCACCAGAGTATAACAGTCTTCTCTTGGAGGTTAGAACACTTTCTGCCACCAGTTTGGCACTAGTTGCTTAGCTAAAAGGGTTCTGTTATTTTGTGTTTGACCTTTTGGCCTTACACAGGGACGCCATTTTAAACTGGAATGCGTAAACAGAATATATGATCCAAACAATGCCACAATATGGACAGATATGCTATATGGTGCACAGGTATATGTCAATGCTTGATGTTGTCTCAACAAGTTCATACATGCTTCTTACTTAGGTTTTTCTTCTCAATCTTTTCTAGATGGCACTTTATGAAAGTATATTAGCCAGCCCTCATCGGACATTGAATGGTGAAGAAGCTGATTTTTTCTTTGTTCCGGTTCTTGATTCATGCATTATAACTCGTGCTGATGATGCCCCTCACATGTCCATGGAGGTAAGATTAATGGGTGACAGCAACCATCCATAAGAAGGAACAAGTTTTGTTGAGTTAGTTAAACATGAACCACACATATGTCAGAGCAGTTTAATGTTAAAAGTAAAATAAAAAATCAATATACGAGGCATTTTATTATTTTATCTTGTTCTTGTGAGTTCATTTTTATGATTTTTGACGTTGATTTTTTTAATCAGCAATGAATTCACTGGCAGGCGTAATATTGCAAAAGCTATAGTTATATTGTTCTGCAATATAAAACGAAACAAATTAGAGTTTATAGGGAGGCGTGGACGAGAAAACAGGAAATGAAATAAAAAGAAATTGGAAAAAATGACTATATTAAGGGCACTTGGAAATTTTTTAAATATGAATGCAAGAATGAGAAAGTAAATGCAATTAACCCCTCAAACCCCCTGAGTCCCTAACATCTGGATGTATAGTCATTAAACATTACTTTTTTTAGCACATTTGATTAAACAACTCCCTATGTCTTATATCAGAGGCTTAAAATTATATATACACGTTTAATTTTTAACTTTTTGCAATTAATTTCTCCACTATTGTATGGCAAATAGTTTACACATGCACGAGCATGAACATGACTGTATAGTGTCTTTTATCAGAAAAACAAGGGTTTGAGGAGCTCCTTTACTCTGGAGCTATATAAGAAGGCTTATGATCACATTACATCAGCATACCCTTACTGGACCCAGTCATCAGGCAAAGATCACATATGGGTATGTGTTGGGTTTTAAGTGTTACTCTTCAAAAATAAACAGAATGTAGTGCTAAAGAAAGGAGGAGAGAAATTTGTGTAAAGTTTAGTTTACATGCTAATGAAAACCTTTGTTTCTCAACACAGTTCTTTTCTTGGGATGAAGGTGCTTGCTATGCCCCCAAGGAAATATGGAACAGCATGATGTTAGTCCATTGGGGAAACACCAACTCAAAACATAAACATTCAACAACAGCATATTTGGCGGATTCTTGGGATACAATTTCTTCTGACAGAAGGGGAAACCACCCATGCTTTGACCCAAATAAAGATCTTGTGCTTCCAGCTTGGAAGCGACCTGATGGAGGTTCTCTGAGTGCTAAATTTTGGGCCAGGTAAGTTCTTCTAAAAAGCCTTGTATGTTGTATCTTATCACATGCACTAGCATTTTCTCGAATAGACTTTTAAAAGAAATTTTGCCTGATTATTTCGGCAGGCCACGGGAGGAACGGAAGACACTATTTTATTTTAATGGAAACCTCGGACCTGCTTATGAAAATGGGAGGCCGGAAGCAACGTATGTATGCTAAATAGTTAATTACCAATTTGGTCCCTCACTATACACTATTAATCAATTTGGTCCTGAACTTTCTTTTTTACTCAATTTGGTCCTCGATTACGCAGTTTAGACTCAATTTAGTAGAAGAGTTTTTTATATAAACTAAGGACTAATTTAGGTCACTATTTTTGCAATGGAGCCAAAGACTCACTATTTTTTTGGCTTGAGAATATGATGGAATAAAGCAAAATGGCTCACTAAACTGTCTGCGCTTCTGTGTTATGAAGCAGCAGTCAGTCCATGCAATTCTCGACGCGATTTTCACTATGGTTCATCCGGAAACAGTCTCTTTGTACTCTAGTATAAGGGTAAGATTGCATACATCCGACCCCCCCTTACCCTACCGAAGGTGGGAGCCTTTGCGGCACTGGGGTAATGAAGATGAATGATGGATAAGAACTAATTTAGGTCCAATTATGTAGTTTAGGGCCCAATCGAGTAAATAACTAGGTCCAAGTTTACTGAATGTGGGGAAAATCTCTTCTTGATCAGAACCAACTATGTGTGTGGACTAAGTTGACTCCAAGTTTCACAGTTAATGATCAAATGGAATCCAATACAAAAGTTGAGGGCCAAATGGAGTCATACTCCATTATATAGTTTCGGGATTATAATGTTTCAGATGAAAGTATGCGTTGCGTACTTGCGTATGCTACATAATAGGAACCCACATTGATATATTAAGTCACCAGAAAATTATATTTTGATGAAATTTATTGTTCAGGTTTTGATGCATTTCAGGTATAGTATGGGCATAAGACAGAAAGTGGCTGAAGAATTTGGATCTTCACGTAACAAGAAAGGCGAGCTTGGAAAGCAGTATGCACAAGATATTGTAGTGACCCCACTGCGAGCTGATAATTACCATGAGGAATTGGCAACATCTCTCTTTTGTGGAGTTATGCCTGGGGATGGGTGGAGCGGACGGATGGAAGATAGTATTTTGCAAGGGTGCATTCCCGTGGTTATTCAGGTCAAATAAATTATATATATTATGTTAACATATATTCTAATTGTTTTCATACTCGTGCTCCAAAAAATGATTTCTTTATTTAATAAATTTGGTATCCTAATCTTAGGTTTGTGGCTGTTTTGTTTTTCTGTTCTGATTCTTGTTTTTGCCCTTCAGAAACAAGAAACCACATGCGGCAGTATTCTTCTTATTTTTTGGTTTGTGAGAACTGAGAACAAAATTTGAATTTGGAAATTACTGGAAACGAGAATTTTTTGTGTTTGTAGTTTCCCCAAACAAACCCTATACTGACTTTTTTCCCTGCATTCAGGATGGTGTTTACCTGCCGTATGAGAATGTCCTTAATTACGAAAGCTTTGCTGTTAGGATACATGAAGATGAAATTCCAAGCATGATTAACATTCTTCGGGTAATTTTGCTCTGCAACTATGTTTTGAAAATTGAAACTATGATACACATTTGTTTAAATGTGTTCAGGCTATCAAGCTAATCAACTTTGTGCAGAACATAAATGAGACAGAGATAGAATTCAAATTGGCAAATGTGAAGAAAATATGGCAGAGATTCATATACCGTGATTCTGTCTTACTTGAAGCTGAGAGGCAGAAGGCTTTGCGTGGGAAAGTTGAGGATTGGGCTGACCAGTTTTCACAACTAAACGAAGATGATGTCTTTGCTACATTCATACAGGTGAGTGTATTATTCTGTCAAGGGTTTTGGTTCTCAAAAGTCAAAATGCAATTATGTGCCCTGGTTTTTTTTTTTTTTGCTTTGAAAGATGCTATTTAAAGTTCTTAACTATACATTATTGGGCTAAGCGTTATGGCTCACATAATCTAACTGCTTCTTTGTTTGGTAATTGCTGAGTAGGTTTAGTATTCCGTGATTTTGTTTGGGTGAAATGACTGATTTGGGTGTAATTACATAAAAGGATAAAAGGACATGTAAAATAATAAAAATATACGAGTATATATTTTGAGGCAATAAAGAAAATGACAAGTTAAAAGGAACCTAAAAATAAGGTGTTAGGATGTTATTTTTGTGTGTGGTTTAAATCTGCCAATCAAGGAGGTGATGTTTGGTGCTTTGAGGCTTATTGTCCATTTGGGCTACCAAAGGCACACTATTAAGCACTCTTTCTCAGTTTCTGATATTGGCTTCTGTTGCATGTTGATGAATGTATGTTTCCTTTTCTCAAGGTGTTGCACTACAAGCTACACAATGACCCGTGGAGACGACAAGTTGCTCAGACAGGAAAAGAGTCTGGGTTGCCCAGAGAATGTATATTATAACGAGAAAATGACATGATGTCTTTATTATGCAGATGTAGAAAATGGCTCCACAATTTTGCTAGAAATAAAAAAATTGTCATTCTTTTGTAAAAAGTTGCTACCTATTATTGACAATCACTTTCATTTATTATTACTAATGTTATGATTAGTGTTGTTTGTTACTGTTGCTATTATTACTATTATTATTATTATTATTATTATTATTATTATTTAAAGCAGCCTAAAATCAGATCCACAATGCCACAATGTGTTGGTTTTTGTTCACTGATCGTCTGATTCATGTGCTCATCAAGCTTATCAGGCCCCAAAAAAGATCTTGGATATTTCTATTCACAACCCTCGGATTACTATTCACAGTAAAATAATAAACATTATTCCGTAATAAATAAAAATAGCTCCAATACCTAAGTTACCCCTGGAGCTATGCTTTAATGTTGCAATAGCAGCCCCAAAGTCATGCCCTTGTTGTAGCCGCCATTGACGGCATTTGCCCCACCACTGAGACTCACAGATTCCTTTGAATCATTCAGGTAGTCCTCAAAACCGAAGTCTTCCAAAGCTCCTGTCATTGCTTCTAACCCAACATGGAAGAGAGTATTACTCCAGTAGTCCAATATGACTCTGAAACCTGGAGATGATCTGGCGTTCCAACTCCATCCTCGTAGGCAAAGCCAAGTCTTAAGTGTTGGCTAGGAGTCTAGGACCGTCCTCTTCATGCTCACCTGGCTCGCCTTATTCTCTTCATATGTGCATTTGAGAGGATGAGACCCGACAAAGTCGCTCTTAACACCATGAAGTCGCTCTTCATATGTGGATTGAAGGCGTCCTCCCGCTGCGGTATATGAAAGGTATTGAGGTCTTCTTCATGATGTCCAGATGACTCTTCTTGGCCAGAAGCTCCTTGAGGTGTGTAGGCGTGTAGCCTTTTGTAATAGAAATAACTGGTTGTGCTCTCCCCATATAAGCAAGACTTCCTGTTGAAGAGGGTAGACTTCGTGCAACAGTTCGCACCTTCCCTATCCTACTTTCAACGTATTATTTACGTATGAGATCATTGAAGAAGAAATCCGATAGGAATCTAGAAGTCGGTCAGAACGTACAAAGCAATATCAATTTCCATAACTGCTCCGCCGTAGCCGACAACACATCTTCTATCTTATCCACGATGGCCCTCTTTAACAGCCCTTCATTGTCCTGCTTCCTCAAGTTAATGGCCGAGCGGGAGATCACAGCCTTTAAGGATATAATAGGAATGAAAAAATAATTTTATTTAATAAAAAAATATGTGCTGTATTTCGTAAAAGAGTGATTGTGATTAAAATTTCTTATAGATCTTTTTTCAAAGTAAAACCCGTAGTACTATACAATCAAGTTTCATGGTCTATATATGGATTAAAATTTTGGAGCCATTTGACTTGTAGTGACCGGAAAAAAAAAACTAGGAAATTTTCAATAATTTGTAACTGTTAAAAATCTTTCAAAGAATCGGCCTGCCAATAATTAAGAAAGTGGAACATTACAAAATTGGGAGACCTGTAAATTTAAGCAATAAAATATTTGATTATTTATCAGGTTTGACATGCGTATTTATGTACATTGCAAGAATAGCTGGACAAAACAAATGGTTGGGGTGGGGGCTTACAATGTCACTTGTACTGTGGCAATATATTTCGGTGAGTAACTTTTATAGCTAAAATGCTGAATGAAGAACAAAGACCGTTTTGGAGATGAAGAAGTCATATTCCTTTCACATTGGAGCTGCTTCCTTTGCATATGTTTCTCCATTTATCTTTTAGGTCCACAGCAGTACGGCCTTTCCAGAAATGATCAGCTCCTAATTCCAATATCTCCTTCCACGGCATATTTCTGTTTTTGGTGGTTTTATATTTTTCCACAGCATCCTGCAACAAAACATTATAAAAGCTACAAGGAGTCAATAACTAGCCTCCTGCTTAGAACAAGTGGTGCTTTCTTTTTTCTGACGACCAGAAGAACCCATAGGAGAAATTTGGCAAATGGAACAGTAAAGGATGTTGGCTTGTTGAAAGAGGAAAACGGACAGGAATGGAAAAATGGCAGCCTTGTATGTTACTTATTTGAAGAGCTAGCAGGAGGGAAGACCTTAAGGGTCCATTTGGAATACAGAAAATTACTATGGAAAGAAAATGCGGGAAAATATGGATGGAAATGAGACGTAGCAGGAAAAATAAATACTCCGTAATGACTAATGAGTAGTAGTTAGAACTAAATCAATCACTTTCACATATTTGTTCGAACTCATTTAATTTCTGTAACTTTCTATTCATAAAGCCACAAAACATAAAATTAAAGATTTATTGAATTTTCTTTTCCTTTGTATTTTACAAGGCAACACCAAACATATAAATCATTTCCCTTTCCAAATCATTTTCCGTGTTCCAAACTTCTGTTCTAAAAGTTGGCATAGGCGCTACTCGCTAGGCTGCAGGCCTGCAGCTAGGCAACCTGGTTTTAGCCTAATCAGTCCAAAAAATTGTTTAGCCAAATGGACAGGCGCTTAGAACTGTATTTTTAGACTCAAGCCCGCAACCATTAATACGCATGCCAAGTAAGCTATTAACAAACTAATTCAAAAGCAATGTCCAAATTACAAAAAAATCATGTGGTACATTACCTCATATTTACTGCACATCTGATTTAAGTGATTAATTAATAGGCATATTTATATATTATAATAATGATAATAAAATATAAAAATATGAAATTTTAGATCCCGCTTTGGCACTGGGCTGCCAGACCAGCGCATAGCGATTTATAGAACATTTTTCTGAAATTTTTTCTTAGCCGTAAACTAAAGTCTAAAACAACAAGTAATCAACACAAAATAAAGCAAAAATAGAATTGCAATAAAATAAAAATACCTTTAGAGCTTCCTCCTCTTCTTTAGTCCAAGGTATGTTCTTCCGCCTCCATTGGGTGATCTCGGGGAAGGAGCTGCAATTGTTGAAAGAAACTTGCAATTCACTCTCGGTAACAGTTGGAAGTTGCAAAACTCAGAATTGAAGAATAAATAGGAAAATATAAAGACAAATTGACTACATAAGTATGGATGTTAACAGCTACGTGCCATTCAAACAGAACTGTAGACTGTCCATTTCTAAACACTAACCAATCTAATACCAAAATATTTTTAATTATTTAGTGAACCAAATTCATCATCACCACAATAAGTCCTTACTATGTTAGGGTTGGAGACATGAACTATACAGTTTCAAAAATCAACCAAACACTAAAAGTTCATGCAAAAAAGTAGGGGCAAAGTTTTACATTGATCCATTTCTCTCGCAGCCATTTTACGAAGAAATAACGAGATAAAATACTAAAATCATCATCATAGGCTTTTCCCACTGGCATGAAAAATATCATGAGCAAGAGATGGTTGTATTACAAGACTGATATCGTAAAATGAGCATCTTTATAATCAACAGAATCCATGAATACAACAACAAACAAGTCTTATTCCCAAAATAGATTGGAGTCGGCTAACATGAACAGACATACCGGAGCTAAATAGATAAGAAAGATACGAAATATAAAAGATAAGAAATACTTTGTAAAAGATAAGATAAAAAAAGATTACATAAAGATAAAGATAAAAATGATAAGATCAAAGGATAAAAAATAAAAAATAAGATAAAAAGGGACAAAGGATAAAGAACATAAGAAAGATAAAGAATAGAGAAAAGTGTCAAATTGGCCCTCCTACTTTGTACGAAAATCAATTCAACAAACGTACTTGTTTCTTCAATTATGTCCTACTTCGTATATTTTGTCAAATCCGATTTTTAGCAGGTAACCCGCCAGTCAGTAAGTTACTGATAGAGACCTGGACTTATGGGCTAAAATATTTTAATAAAATGTAATAGTGGGCTGGGCCAATTAATTAGATAGATTGAGGGAAGCCTCATTTGGAAAAGAATAAATAGAAGGAGTAGAAGAGGGAGAGGGTAGGCTGGAATTCAGTTGGAATTAGGCTGGGAGGGTGAGGCCTCTCGAAGAGTCTCGATTTCTTTCTTTTATTTCCGCACCTGTAAAACTCAGATTACGTCAATTTACTACCTGTTTTACCGTGTACCTATCAATGGTATCAGAGCAGTCGACCCCGGGAAGCGTGGAGAAGCGCTCTGGTTTGCGCAAAGAAGATCGACGGTCAGAACTGACCGCCTCTGGTTCGCGCGGAAAACTGGAGAGGCATTCAAACAGGGAGAACCGTTCAAATCTGGAGAAGGTGAAGGGCTCAAACCTGGAGGAGAAGCGCTCAAACCAGGAGAAGGAGAACCGCGTGAAGAGCAGGGAAAAGGTAGAAAGTGATTGGGAGAAAAAGTGGAGGATCTGGCTAGATGAGTTTCGCACCAAGTTGCGCCAACAACGTCGCCGGCGTGGACGATCGCGGACCGTGCGACGCTGCCAGAATTCGAAGAGAAAAGCTTCATCGTCATCGCAGACCGACTCTAATAGTTCGCAGGTTTGGTCTCAGTCGCAAGCAACTACTCCCAGTTCGCCAACTTCGCCACCCGAAGATGTCCCCAGTTCACAAGCTCTATCGCCAGCTGATCCCTATTCGCAAATTTCAACCTCCCCTCAGGAGTCAGATAATCAGCGGCAACCTTCCCATGAAGGTATTTTTTCTACGCGCCCCAGAGAAAAGGTAGAAGACGAGAGAGTCCATTTGGGTCCTAACAGTGCTGAGGATGTTCAGAAGGTCGCCAATCTAGAGCAAAATTCCGCTAGAGAAGATGACAATTCTTCTCTGGAGAAGAAACCGCTGTCCATGGTCGGTACTGGTGACCCTGGAAAAAATGGAGAACAGGCAGAGTGTTTTGAGCCGGAAGTACCTCAGGCCCTTATACCCGGAGTTCGTTCTGTGGCTACAAGAGCTATTGGCTCCCCAAACTTGCTTCAAAACTCATTCAAGCTCCTGGTAGATTCATTGAGGCACACAGATGCAGAAAGGTTAACAAGAATTTTCATAACATGCTTAATGAAAGAGACTAAAGCAGAGTTGCAACACTGTCATTATGAATACGTTTCTGAATTCGGGGATAAAGCCCTGTTGTTGGAAGAGAAGAACAGGGCTGTAAGGAGAGGAAAGTACAGAGTTGAAGACATGAGGGGATGGAAGGAAAAAGGGGGCTGTATGAACAAACCTAAACATTGGGTGGAAGGATTGAGGGGAAGGACACCTACGAGTAACAATCAACAGGCTGAGATAGAAAGACAACGGAGTAAAGAGGCAATTACAACGCAAAAGGCCTTCTGGGTGCCAGGACAATTAAATGACCAAGATGGAGGCAAAATCGTGGTAATCTGTATTGATTGTGTAGCTACTCACAAGCTTGTCCCACAGGAATTGGTTGAAGATATGGAGCTGGTCTATAACACAACACCTAAGTTGCTGAGGGAGATGGAGCATGGGGAACAGGTTTTCAATAATGGTATATGTAAAAGCTTACAGATATGGGTGCAGGGTTTAATTATCATTCACATTTTTTTACTAGAACCGGGTGGAACTGATATAGTACTGGAAAGGGAGTGGTTGACAAGAGTAGGGAATATTGAAGTTAGTTACAGAAGATTGAATGTTCCTGGATCTTTAAGAGCATTGTTGGACAACAAAACCAGCAGAGAGCTTGTCAGGACCCACTTGCATTCCCTCCTCAGAGATTATTTAAATGATTTTCTTGTTGGCAAGAGGCTTCGGTGGCTAAACTTTTGCAACTCTCTGAAGCGATGTGGAACTGTACATATGATGACTAATGGAAGGGAGGCCGCTCTTGAAGTTCAGTCCCTCGGGGTGTTAGAATCTTGTGCTGTGAAGAACACTAATTGCTATTCATTAAGCATGTATCAGGACCTGTTGGGGTCAACAACACTTTATAATGATGAATGGGTGAATATTCTTATTACCTATGTTGTCTTGAGGCTGACAATATTGGATAGCAAAAGATGGGAAAAGGTAATTGTGCATAAACTGGAGGATCAGGTAAAAGACATATATACAACAGAGAGGAGGATTCAAGCACGGGCGTGGAAAACCAATATTACTATGATGAATGTTGGGCCTGATGCTTTTGTATCTACCACTGAGCCCAATCTCATAATGGACCAGTCACATTTTTTTCTAATCGGAACAGAGATTGGCATATTCTCACATGTTACTGCTTCGCTGAAACCGGGACAAGATGTTTGTGGAGCCCTTGAGGGTGAAGGTTCCAATCAACAAAGCACTGAAGGTGCTAGAAACTCTACCCGGAGGGGTGTGGAGGTTCGGTTACTTCCCATGGGGACTTTGGTTGCGGCTGTACCTGCTTCTATTGGATGTGCCATCCTGGATGCATCTCGAGGTTCACTGGAGTTCTTCAACTCATTTTTGGGTAATGATCTAGATGTATCAAAAGGTGAGGATTGGAAGTTAAAAGTGGTTCATGGGATCGATGGCAGAATAATATCCATGGACTGTCCTGCTACTGGAACTCAGTGGCTTTACAGCAGAGTTGATCAAAACGGATATGCAGAATATAGTGGATTTGGGTACAGATCTGCTGGATGCATTGAAGAGTATTATGTCATTGAAAAGGATCAAGAGCATGCAGGAGGAGTCAAATCTTTTGCATTACAGGGAAATACAGAAATTTTGGTTCAATGGAGACAACTACCAGATTTGGATGATTTTTGGGAAAGTTTTAGCAAAGGCCAGGAGGAATGGATGACAAAGGTTCAAGTACCGAAGCTAAAGGAACTGAAATCAGAGAGGTACTGGGAAGGAAGGGGCACGAGGATGAAGCGGGATGGCATAGCTGCTCTTACTCCCCACCTTGAGGACAAGGTGGTTGTCAAAGGGGGGAGTGATGATAGAGACCTGGACTTATGGGCTAAAATATTTTAATAAAATGTAATAGTGGGCTGGGCCAATTAATTAGATAGATTGAGGGAAGCCTCATTTGGAAAAGAATAAATAGAAGGAGTAGAAGAGGGAGAGGGTAGGCTGGAATTCAGTTGGAATTAGGCTGGGAGGGTGAGGCCTCTCGAAGAGTCTCGATTTCTTTCTTTTATTTCCGCACCTGTAAAACTCAGATTACGTCAATTTACTACCTGTTTTACCGTGTACCTATCAGTTACCTGCAGACGTGGCGCACACGTGGCCTGACACGGCACACATGTGGCAGCCCACGTCATTTTTTTCTTTTTCCCATTTCATTTTCTTTTTCATTTTCCTTTTTCTTTCTTTCTCCTTCCTTCTTCCCTATTCTCATTTCTTCCTTGCACAGAATGCCACAACCATTTCTTCCTCTCCTTAAGTATTCATCTGCAGGTCATCATCCGTCCATCCATGTAAGAACTGAAGCACGGCGGCGACTTTGGAGGCAGCCACAGATCTGGTCTGTGACGGCGGTGAAAATGCCGGAGCAGTGGCTGGATTCAGAATTCCTTCACGGCAGCGGAAATGTCAATGGAACTGTAGCTTGGATAGGTCACCATCCAACAGAGGATTGGCTGGATTTGCATTTGAACGAATAATATTACTCTCAGGCAATTGATGCAGCGACGCCACAATAGTCGTCGTTCACGGCTGACGGCGCGGCCATTAACGGCGGGTATAGCCGACGCGGTAGCGGAGGAAGAGAGACAGAAAGATTGTGTTCCCGCTGGTCGAAGAACCCATAACTTTTGTCGTGGGATTTGGTGAAAAAGAGAAGAGATGACAAGGTGTCTGGTTCTTCGCAGAAGGGGAAGGAAAGAGGTAACGGGGAAAGAGAAAGGGAAGGAAAAGAAAAAAGGAAAAAAGGAAAAAGGAAAAGGAAAGGAAAAAAGAAAAAAAAAGTGATATGGGCTGCCACGTATGTGCGGTGTCAGGCCACGTGTGCGCCACGTCAGCAGGTTACCTGCTAAAACTCGGATTTGACGAATATTTTGAAGGACATAATTGAATAAACTTAAAGTACGGGTACTGATTGACTTTCCGTACAAAGTAGGAGGGCCAATTTGACACTTTTCTCTCGAGAATATACAAAAAATTGGGATGACTGGGTGCATCATTAGGTTTTCTACGCAGTGCGCACATGACCGAACCACCGTAATCAAGATTCTCGCATCTTATCTTCAATAGGTACTACTCCTACGGCCCTACCTTTTGTCTCGTTGTCTCATACTCATTCCTCAAACAGCTTTTTTTAATATGTCTATACATCCAATGCAACATGTGCACCTCAGCCACACTGATCGTTTGAATGTGACATTGTTTTATCGCCCAACACTCTACGCCATACAATATTGCAGGCTCGTTCGATAAAACTTACCCTTCAGTCTAGTCACCATACCTCAGTCACATAGAAATTCAGACGCACTCTTCCATTTCATCCACCTGTTCTGATTCTATATAGAATACATCTCCATCTAGTTCACCGTCCTTCTGATCTATGGAGTCCAAGTAATGAAGCATATCACTAACCGATATCTTCTTACCATCTAGGATAATCCCACTATTACCACGGTTCTACCTCCACCAAAAAGAATTCATGAATAAATACATCAAATAAGTTCATATTTCCAAATTTGTATTGGTAGTCAAAACTAACTGTAGTTCTACAAAATTATTTGACCATGGAAGTAAAGCTAATAGCTAACATTTGCAGTACAGAACAACACATGCCAACAAACAATAGTGATACTCAATTATGAAAAGCTGATACTCAACGCCAACATGAACATATGCTCATAGATGCAGAACTGACAACTTTATGGGGGGGCATGTTGTAACTATGCATATAGATACGTAAGGCATCTTGTAAACTATCTGAAAATGAAAAACTTACCGTTTCTTCTCTGGTTTGCGGAACCGTATACGATACCCTGAAGCCTGAGATTTTCCCTTCTCTTCTTCAGAGCTTTCTTCCAAATCAGTCCTTGGGGTGAGTTCAGATTGCAAGTTCATACGGGTCACCCTCTCTGGATCTCCATGAGGCATACCCTGCATGTTTTTTATTGTGATAGCAGGTGTCTCATTATGAGATTGATCATCATCCTCATTTGGATAGAGGGGGCCCTTTTCGACATAGACTACAATTGCATTGGTTGATGAAGTCCTTTTATTCTTTGATGGTGAACCATCACCGTCAGATGAAACTGACTGCTGCTCTTGTTGCTTCTCTTCTGTATTAGCACTACATTGTGGTAAGCTAGTATCCTTTAAAAAGAATCTGCTACTGTTTGTTTCATCCTTTTCACATTGTTGTTCGGCATCTTGCCTTGGTTGACTTGTCTTTGATCTAGAAGATCTTGTTGAAAAGTTGTTCTGTGGTTGCTCAATTTGCACACCAATGAAGGATGCAAGATCTTTCCTTGCAAGTGAGGCCTTCTTTTTAACTCCCATGTACTGTGAAATTGCTCGAGAATATGCACAAAATGGGCAGTAAAACCTTCCATCTTTCTCAAAACTGGGAATAGAACCCAAGCAGCTACTGTGGATGACTAACGGGCAAGTTTCAGAATTGCAAACCAACAACTGAGTGGACTGACCACCTCCATTACACTTCACGCAAAGATTTAGCTCTTTCAAGCCAGTGGTCTCTAAAGAATCTTGACTATATGTGCATTGAGAGTTCAAGAACACAGTTTTCTTTGATGTAATCTGAATCATCTCTTCATGATACTCATCACTGTCACTACATGATTGCAATTCATGAGAACTGTCAACTTTGCCTCTGATTGTATGCGTGGGTCCACCATTTGACAGATCATGCTGAAAATTTCTCTTAGTTCCATTGGCATGAGAAAGCTGTTGGGGTAAAGGCTGTCTTGCATCATTTGAATTACAAAGTTGTACACCTGATCCCCTTTCTTCCAAGCCCCGAGCCTGGGATTTATTTCTAAAATTGGCCCCTTCTTTTCCTATGCATTTTGTAGCATGAACACTACCTTTAACTGCATGAGATCCACTTTCTTCCAAGCTCCTAGCTTGGGATTCATTTTCCAAATTGCACCCCTCTTTTTCGGTGCATTCTGTAATATGTACACAATTTGTATCAAAAGCAGCAGACAGTTTGCACTTTTTGGTTACCTTACTAGCACCAGGACCACCAGAATAGTCATCTAAGACAATTCTCTCTTCAGGGCTTACTTTTCCCTGATTACCAGCAGAAACACATTTTCTCTTCTTGGCGAGTAGGAGGTCTCTATCGTGCAGAGTTTCTTTCAGGTTGTTCTCATTATCATGTGTAGAAGCTACTGAGTTTCCATTTTCTGCATGATGTTCGAAATTTTTCTCTTCACATGTTTCTCCAATGCCATTAAAGGCACTTACATCCACTGAAGTTGCATTTCCAGATTGATTAGTGATTGGCAAGCCACTTCTTTGCTTCAAGGGTGCAAGATGAGGATCACTTCCCTTCACAAACATATCCTTTAGCTGCGTGTTAATTAAGAACAAAAAAGCAACTCAAAAGGAGAATCAGCTATCGTTTTAAAATATGCCACTTTGGTTCCACCGTTGTTAGGTCATTTTCACTTTTGATCAGTTAATCCTGTGGAAAATTGTATGTGAAGTGGCTAGATAAGTAATTAGAACGGCAAAGTGGCAAGAAATCCATAATAGTGGGTTAAAAGAGAAAATGACCTTGTCATGGGACCAAATTAAAAAAACATCTTTATGTTTTTGGCATATCTATTCTTTAGTTCAGCAATAAATATAGTGAAGAGATTGACTGTGTCTTTCCTTACTTGTAACAAAAAAGATTGCGGCAATGTAGAACTTTCCATATTCAGAATCTCTGTTTCAGTCATTTTTAAACTTGATGCAGATATCTGGTTGTAAGCACATTACAGAAGCAAACTATGTTAGCAATCATTCAAGAATCAAGGGCATAGTCAAGAGATCAACCGATTCTCTCAAATACTCCCTCTGTCCCTATTTTATCTCCACCTTTGACTTTGCAAGGTTTACAATAGGGTGGAAAAGTGTTTGGTCAAAATTTGTTTATGAGAGAGAAACCTTATCAAAGAATCCTTTCCTAAAAAAGAAGATAATTTAGAGACGAAAAAATATGAAAGAATGAACACAAAAAAGGAGCAAAGGGTTGAAATTACTTTAAACTGATAGTGTGGCTAAACAAAAAAATGTTTAACACCTCTTGCAATAGTTTACAAAGTCGATCTTCACAGCGCTCTGACAGACCCAACCTCATCTTAGAGCCTGCTGCCAAGGACGTGCCATCCAAGTTCCTGTTTCTTTTGATGAATAAATTCTGTAAAATTCTCAATGAGAGCATTTTTTTTGCACTTCTCTCAAAATCATCAGAAGTTTCAGGAATTCTCTTAACCAAATCTGTAATGTATGATCAATTAAAGTTAAAGCCACTAACCAGTTAGAATAAACACTATACTTGCATTCCCATTTTGTACATAAGAAAAGCTAATTAACTTATAGAAAAATTAAAATAATTTTATTTGATTGTAACTAGATTAAATATGATTTCTTCTGTGTTGAATAATTTTTTAACTGCTTCCAATGATTCTATACCAAACAAAGTTTGGACTCATAACCTACATAAAGTTTCATACATGTTATTCAGTCTTTGTGCTCGCCTGCTCGGGCGGCTCAGCCATGAGTATATTCTTTACAATATGATGTAGGATAGCAGTTTTTTTAAGATAAGAACGTGATACCAATTAGAAGGGATGCATCTATTTGTTTGGAACTTGCAAGTGCTTCCACAACCCAAATCCATGGTAAGGTTGATGCAGAGGGAACAGATCCACAGTTAAGAGACTTGGTGATCCATTCTGCAGCAAGTTTAATATGATTATAAGAGATTAAGAGGAAAGAAGGTTCTCATGAATACAGATTCTACTACATGTAGCTAGTAACAGCTCCTTTCATATCCATACATAAATGATATATTGGACCAAATCAAAATGGAGTTGATTCAATTCAAATCACAAATCGTATAAATGATTATTAACAAAAATTGATGTACAGAGAGAAAAACATGCAAAACCAGTGAAAACAGTGGCCAACAATGATGCCAGCACAAGATTATATAAACTTAACGGAGATAGTTAACAGGGTCAACAATTGTCCCTGATTGTATAGGGGCATGGTTTTGACACTAGAAATAAAGCGAGAAAGAACATTTTGGATTTTGCCTCGACGTATGGACTGTATGAGTTGGCTATAATGAACACTTGGTTCAAGAAAAGAGACTCTCACCTTGTGACATATAAGAAGTGGAGCTAATAGTACCCAAATTCACTACACCTTAGTACGGACTACTTGGAGAACTAGCTACACTGATTGTAAGGATATCCCAAGTGACAGTGTTGTCACTTAGCATAAGAATATAAGATGTTTGTTCTTGATATGAGGTAATAAGCATAGAAGGCGGGTTAAGCAACGAGTGGAGCCAAAGATAGACCGGTGGATGCTCGAGGGAACAAATCGCAAGATATTAATGATCTTACTATACCAGATTGTATGATAAATAGGGATTTCATGAGAAGGATCTAAACGATAGAAGCTAAAGAGGCTCTATGAAAGATAATGCGGAAGAAAGTAGGGGGTCCGGACGGCATACCTCGAGGCTTGAAGAAGTTCGGGTGAGAGAGGCGTTGAGCGGTTAACATGTTTCATGAATAAGTTTTGGAGAAACAACAAAGTTTCAGTGAATTGGCGGAAGAGTACTCTTATTTCATGAGAGTATAAGAATAAGAATATAAGAGTACTCTTAATAAGAATATAAGAGTACTCTTAATAAGAGTACTCTTATTTTATGACAGTGTTGTCACTTGGCATAAGAATATAAGATGTTTGTTCTTGATATGAGGTAATAAGCATAGAAGGCGGGTTAAGCAACGAGTGGAGCCAAAGATAGACCGGTGGATGCTCGAGGGAACAAATCGCAAGATATTAATGATCTTACTATACCAGATTGTATGATAAATAGGGATTTCATGAGAAGGATCTAAACGATAGAAGCTAAAGAGGCTCTATGAAAGATAATGCGGAAGAAAGTAGGGGGTCCAGACGGCATACCCTCGAGGCCTGAAGAAGTTCGGGTGAGAGAGGCGTTGAGCGGTTAACATGTTTCATGAATAAGTTTTGGAGAAACAACAAAGTTTCAGTGAATTGGCGGAAGAGTACTCTTATTTCTCTATTTAAGAATAAGGGTGATGTACACGAATGTTCCAACTATCAAGAGATTAAACTTATGAGTCACACCATGAAACTTTAGGAGAGAGTGATTAAGCAAAGGCTACAAGAAGTTTGAAAATTTCGGAGAATCAATTCAGTATTATGGATGGATCGCCCATCAACTAAGGTTATTTACCTTTTTAGTTAACTTGTGGAGGACTATAGAGACACTAACAATGATCTGCATTTGGTGTTCATTGACTTAGAATATGCATATGATACGATATTTAGATAAATCCTTTGATGGGATTTAACTAGAAAAGCCATATCATGTAAGTATATCGGTATCATCATGGCTATGTATGAGGATTTTACTATAAGTGTTTGTACTCTTGTAGGGATGACTACATAGTTTATATTGCTAGCGGAGTGCACCAAAAATCTTAGTCCTTTCCTATTTGCTATAGTCATGGATGAACTTATGAAATCAATTCAAGAAGATATATCAGAGTGGATGTTTGCCGACCACATTGTATTGATTGATGAGACACAATCAGGTGTTAAATCAAAGTTTGAAGTATGGCGACAAACTTTGGAGAACAAAGGTAGCATAATTGCTATGAAGTTAACTACTTCCTCCGTCCCAATTTGATTTGCAAAATTTCCTATTTTGATTGTCCCAAAATGATTTTCGAGTTTCTATTTTAGGTATGTATACTGTGTATATATGTAAAAAGTGACAAACTTACCATTGCTTTTACCCTTTTCCATTAACTTAAAGGAATCTACTTTATAGAAGATGGGCAAAATAGTAAAAAGTAAGATTTATTTATTGTCATTCCTTAATTTTTGTGTCACTCAAACTTTGCAAAACAAATTGGGATAGAGGTAGTATATAGTACTCCATAATCAATTACCAAATTTAATTAAAGGAATATAGTTGCAGATAGTTTTGCTTATTAATATGTGTAGATAGCTTTTGAAAGAGTACACATATCATAACAATTATTATCATTCACACCTTTATAAACAAAAATCGGCATACTACAGAATTTACAGAGGCAGTGCACTTGGCCAGACCTGAAATCCAAGTGTTAAACAATAATCTCAAAAATTAATACAACATAGCAATAATAAAAAATGACAACGTTATCCTTGATCAAATAGCAAACAAGTCTGCTACAAATGTAAAAAACAATGCATAATGATCTCACATGGGGAGAGGCGATTTTGAGTTTTTTAAAATGCATAAGACGAGACTAGGGAGTTAATTTGTGGTTTTTGTGGTTCAGCTCAATCACGGGAAAACCAGACACCCTCTTTACGTTTTAACGATTAAATGGGTTTCTCAAATATCACATTTGGTCCATTGCACCAATTCGAAATGGTGGCATTTATGATTTTATTATTTTTAAGATTTAATCAAACTAAAACATCAACTTTCAGTACACTAGAAAGAACCAAGTCTTGACAATTTTTGGCTACTACTACTATTTTAAGTCTTGACATGTTGACAACTCATGACTTTTAATTAAAGCTGAATGCATGAAAGTTAAGCTAATTTAATATATATTTGTAGTACAAACCTGAAAGTTGTTTATCATTCATCTTTGAGGCTCATGAGGCTGTCATATAAATTCAAATAAGCTTCAAATAGTTTCATGCTCACTTTCTCCCACTCATTTCTTTTAGCATTTTCCAACTCTTTTCATTCTCATGCAATTCCATTCCATTTTGATACAAGTTTCTCACAGCAGCAAATTATTAGAGATTAAGAGCTTTTCTATGGAGAGATTCACTCTCCCTTATAGAAAATATATCTGTTAAAAATGGTGAATCGGAACAAGATTATTCTAGCTTTAGGATTTTCACTTGAGCTACATATGGAGGGAAATTAGGAAGTATTAGTCCAATTTTGACTGAAACTCTAACCACTCCATTCCCAGAAAACAACCTAAAAACTTAACTACAAAATTAATTAAACAAATATTCTAAGAATTAATGGGGGGATAAAAGAATAAGGTATATCTCTATATATAAAAAAGCTGGACAATGATCATGATGTCATCACGAGATGATGTGACACGTGCTTACAGTTAATCTGCAGAATTTTGGCTCTCCTCCGTATGGAGGGCATCACTGCCAGCATATTGGTTGTCATTAAATTACAGCTTATAAAACTCCTTATTTTATAAAATTATTCACCGTTTAAATGAAAAAACGGATAAAGAACGAACCTCAACAACACCAACTCTCTAAGCTTGATCTATTCACTGCTGATAAGATAAAATAAGATACTGTATGTAGGAACAAACAAAATAAGATGAGATAAAATAAGAAGATAGGTAGTAACAATCGTCTAACCTCAGGACATTTGACGAACGGCCTGGTGTAGACGACATAAGGGGAAGAGGAGATGTAAACGGAGAGGATAATATAGCGTACGACCGTCTGGCTGAGAGACAGAACAGTAGATCGGATGAATAGAGTTAAAGAACAGGAAGACTTTGGATCAATGAATTAGCCCATAATATCAAATTTAAGGCTGGTTTGCAACCACTTTAAAAAAAGCACTTCTCAGCTTTTGGCTTAAAAAAGCACTTATTTACCAAACACTACCAATTTTTTATTTTTCTCGGCTTTCGTGTCAAAAGTGCTTTTCCACTTTTTATACACCAAAAGCACTTATTTTACCAAACACTACCAACTTTTACTTTTCAAAATCACTTTTTTCTCAAACACTATCAACTTTTACAAATAATCACTTTTTCCAAATCACTCCAAAAGTGCTTTTTTTAAAGCAGAAGCTATTGCAAACACTCCCTTACAAAGTCAATTTATGAATCTATTTATTTATGAAAAAATTATATTTAATTTTTTATTAATAAAATAAAGAAAAGTTTAAAAACAGCTATAATGATTATTGCGTAATTTCAACCTTACTTTTTTATATTATTACAAAATTCAGAACGTGAAATCAAAAGTTACGTGTTTGGTTAAAAAGTTTGCTGATAAGTCTGATAAGCTGAAAAATATACCTGATGGGCTCTAAATCATTTAATTTGGCAGGTTTAATGTGGATTATTGTATATTTAGTACATATTTGGCAACATTGAAATCGATTAAATGAGTTGAATCTATTAAAACCGATGAAATTGTAGTTGAATCGCCAACTTCACTAATATGTTGATTTGCGGAAATATTATATTTCAATTCTTTTTAATGATGAATAAAGAAAAAATCTTATGAAAATAGTTATGATCTTATATAGTAATTTCAACCAATTCAATTATAAAAATAATTTAAAACTCATTTACATTGATTAATATATAATTTAGTGCGCAAAATCTTTTGATTGTATATCATAAACTAATTTTAAATGATTGATAAGTTGAAAATATTAGTTACCAAAAGGCTCTCAATATTTGTGAGTTGGGAAGCAAATGTTTGAATTAATAATAAAATTTTGAAATTAATATGTTTTAAATCTCATAAATGTATCTAAAATTTAACCTACATGTAAAATTCACTCACATCAATAACCATTGAAATGTTTAAAGAAAATTTATAAATTGTTTTAGCCAAAAAATGTCGTATTATAGTTATTCATTTATTTGAATTAAAAGAGTTCTCAATGTTATTTAGAAGAATTATATGTGAAAACAAAAAGTGCAATGAGGATTTGTACTTGTCCATTCCCTCTTCTTAAAATTCTAATTTTGATGTTTGGTCTTTTGAAGAAAAAATGACCCATATGTATTTAGTTTATACAGATTGGAATGTATGTATTTACCAAGATCATATTCACATAATCACATTGAAAGTATGGAATACTTTTGAAATGATTTAAATTCTTTCATGGTTAATCACTTAAACATGTATGTGCGTGAAATTCCTAAATTGATAAGATATGCTAAATTATTAAATTATTTGATACTTAATTATTTTTTGCTCCAACCTTCATAGGGATTCTATTAATTGAAAAACACTCTTTATTAATTTACAAAGATTAAGGGTTTGTTAAAATTCTAAATTAACTCATATCATTAAGCCTTTGAATCATGAAGAGATTGTGTTAAAATATGTTTTAAATAATGATTGATCACGGTAATTGACACACAAAACTCAAAAATTTCTATTAAAGCACAAAAAATGGAGTCATATATCAAAAAAATTTGAAACTCAAAATTAATAAATGTATGTTTGAAATGCCTGATAATATATGATGTGTTTCTTAAAATATTACATACTTTAGTGGTCCAACTTGAGTGATTGTAATAATTACAAAAATATACTCTATTATAGGGAATGTTAATGGAAGATGTTTACTATTTCTAGTGACCACAACTTTATACACCACAAGTCCATAACAATGAGTAATTGACAAGAATATCAAGATATTTTCACAGTGATTCAAATTATGCTAAACTTAAGATCCGAAACGAGTCATGACTATATCCTCTAATATGAAATGTGACCATTCTACTACAAATTATTACTCCGTAGTATTTCTAAATGAATTGAAACAACAAAGAACTGAATCTCAGAAGATCGTGGCAGCAAGGTCACTCTACTGATTACGATACCCCGTCACGTATTTTAGACGTCTACAAAGGATTCTACTCACTGCCATTCTAATATAAATTATTGTTGAGCAATAATAATGATCAAAGTGTATTGTTGGACATTGACTCTCGCGCATTGCACATGAAAGACGCTAGTAATAAAATTTTACAAGAGTGAATGTGATAAGAATATTTTGGATAGTAAAAATGTGTTGGCATAATTTGTAGTTACAACTTACAAGTGTTCACACAAGGCATTTTCAGCGTACTTCAGATTAGTGACCTTGGTCGCTAACATCATGTACTTTATTATTTTTTGGAAGTCAATAAACATGTAGTTATATGTCGGGTGAGCACCGGTCCAAGACTGGACCGGGCAGGAACCGGAACCAATTGGACCGGAATCGTCGAATCGAAATTCTAAAACTATTGGACTTAAGACCAGACTTATATAATTTCGGTCAAGGACCGGAGCAGAAACTTGCCAAATACATCTAGCCACTACATACAAGATTCAGCTCAAGTTCGATCATGCACACATCTATGACACGCATTAAACAATTCAACCTCATGTAAGGATCGACAATAGCTAATTATTAGAAGATGAGCTCACATAACAACACATTTGCTTATTTCTAAAATGTTACTTTTGTCTTGGGAAAATACTTTGTTTGGTCTTACTATAGTCATAAAGACTTCCTACGCCCAACACAGGCACAAGCGGATCCAACAGAGCAAAGCCTGCATAGAATTGAAAATCAGGTCGATGCTTCTTTTATCTGAATCATTCATTAATTTTCATAACCCCCATAATCAAAGAGTATTTTCCCCCATATATACAATCATTATAAGATGAAGTAAGAGATCAGATAATTTAGGGAGAAGTCATGCAAGCAAGCAACTTCTGGCACATGTTTTGCACATCTGGTGAAGGATCGGATTCAGAGAGGTCATCAAGCAAAGTTCTGGCTTCTAGCAATCCCACTGAAATACTCTGTACTACTGCCTCTTCACTTGCCATTAGGGAAGCAAGTAACTTGATGGCCCCCATTCTTTCCTGATGAACACCAAGAACAAATAAGAACTTTTAATCCCAAGACAAATTTGTGCTATGTATCACGCAATGACGGAACACACTCACATCAACTTTCAAGAAAGAGCAATCATCATAACCTTAATCCAAATTACATCGAATTGGTTACAAATTTACAATAAAGTTAGTTTTAATCATGCTAAGAATGTCAGTGTGAAGCTCAAGATACCCTGCCTGGCATTCAAGTCCCACCCGATCAATGTGGCACCCGCTACTCGTGTAATACTTGAGGTTCCAAACATCATTATCCTGTATCTCCCACGTTCACTGAACAGTAGAGATACACAAGACATTTTCTATGGCAGAAGATCCCATTCAGACAAGTAGTCATAATAGTCTTTATGCCCCAAAATAAACGACGTAGTTACTATCCATACGGTCAACTTAACTTCCTTTTTTAACCCCTAAAATTATGTACCAAAATTTTGTGATATTTGAGTTCTGTTTTTGCAATTCAATAAAAAAAAATTGTATAATTCCTAAATATGTAAATTGTAATTATCAACACTACTTTATGTGTTATTAAAGATAAACTAACTTTATCATCGGTCAAATATCGTTAACCATAACACAGATTTTTAATATGGGATGCAGGTAGTATATCATAGAGCAAATATCTGAAATACCTTGTCAGACTCTCCCCTGAGCGACCTGATGGAAGCTTCAAGTATAGCAGAGGAGTAAGGAAGAACTGCAGACTTCAGATGGTAGACCACTGAGAATATAATCTGGATGCATGCAGACCTAATGTCTGAATCCGTGATTACCTGATAAAAAGAAAGAAGTCTTACATTCATATGACAAGCTTGGATAGCCCTACCCGCAGAAATGTATGCTCAGCTCAGCCAAATAAGTGCTTAGATTAATATTAGCCCACCTTAACTGAATGGATAATGTGGGGAAGAATTTTAAAAATCAAGGCCTTCTTGCCAGAGTCTGGGACCTTCTGACAAACACTAATGAGAACATTTGCCATGCATAAGCGGAATGAGATATGAGCCATTGCCTTCTCCTGTGTTCCCAACTTAAGAGGAAGTTTGTCTGGATTGTCACAAGTCAATTGTTGGATTACGTAATTCCAAACTGAGCTGGTGAGTGCATCCCCTACAATTGTGTATCAGTACTTTTGTCAGAAGCAGAAGCAGAAGCAAAAAAAGGATGTATGAACTTAAAGGGTATCCCTGAAATGTATACCTGAAGTTGACTCCCCAGATGTTTTCATAGCTTGTAGTTCAGTACATACCATCAATGCTAGACAGTCAATGCACCCATGTTGAACCTTTGAAACTGTAGAGAACATATCCAAAACTAAGGCTTTGCCTGTTTTCAGGAAAATGATTTCCGTGACTTCCCACTTATGGAAATTATTTTCTAGATTTTCCTGTGTTGTTCACCTGATAACGTTTTCCTGAAGGATATTTTTTCTAATTTTTTTTGTGTAAAAACGAGCTCCCCTTTTGAGGTAAACATTATGCACAGAAAATGTTTACCACTTACTTTCCTGCAATCAAACGAAGAGTAAATCACTTACTACCATTTTCATTCATTGATGGCCATAACAAAATAGCCTCCACTGTTTTCCTTATTCTAAGCACATTCGGGTGTTTATATGATTCCATGCCTCGAACCTATTCAAGGAAATATATGGGTGTGAGCAATGACAAGATCGCATGAAAAGCACAACTCCTAAGGATGAAAACACAAACTTAGTTAGGTCAAAGAGATCTAACCGTTAAAGAAGTGCACATTGCAAACAGGCAAGCTTTAATCTTTAGCAAATCCTTAGTATCTGTAGCTTTTTCCAATTCAGAAGTAATAATTGGAA